GCAGCAGCCCGAGAAGCGCGGTCGTCGAGTTTTGGTCGTCGTCCATGTTAGGATTTAGACTCCTGCGCCTCAGAGCCCACCGGGGTCACCACACCCCTATGCCCCCGGAGCTGCAGCCGCCGCCACCTGTCGGCCACCTAGCCGCGGCGTGGCCTGGGGCTGCAGCTCCGGGGCTCCGCCCTGGCCTGTCCACCTGCAGGCTCAGGACCGCTGGAGGGGACCCCTGGGCGGCTGCTTGCTCAGGCGCCTTCCCAGCCCGGGCCTGTCCACCTGATGTCCACGCTGCCGGCCCTGGTGCTGCGGCTTTGTGGGGAGAAGCCCTCCCCGTGGGCTGCCGGGCCGCGACAGAGCGTGCTCGCCCCGCACGCAGTGGGCTCGGGGCCAGGGCACTGACCGCCCGCCCCGGGAATGCCAGGGCAGAAGAGCAAGCTCCGCTGAGCCTTGCCCAGGACGCCGCGCGGCGGCCCAGCCCGGCTCCAGCGCCTCCGGAGCGGGGCTCCCACACGGACCCTTTGCCGCTGGGCTCTCCTTTGGGAAATGGGCCAGCAGTCGGAAGGGGTCGCGGGTCAGGCGTGGGCTGGATGTGGGCCCTCGGGCCTGTTTCTGAAGCTTGGTTGAATGGAGTTGGTGTTGTAGCAGGAACAGAGCACCGGATGGGGCGAGACACAGGAGGTTCTTCGTAAAATCTGCCAGGACCGTTTAGGATCTGCCTTATGGATTGAAATTAGGCGAACTGAGCTAAACCTGCCGTCGGTGTTGGTTCCCAGCGTGCACAGCCAGCCCTGGGAGCCACCGGCCCAGCTGTAAGCAGCGCCTCCTGGGGAATGCACCAGGTGAGTCAGGAGGGCTCCGCCCACGGAGTCACCTGTCTGCACCTGCCCGGGCATGGGGCTCCCCTGGGATTGCACTGACTTTCACGGTGAGGACAATGTCTAATTAAGCACCAGGGATCACCACGCACCGGCAAGGTGGCAGTGACGGCAAGAACCCAGCTGGCAACAAGGAGGTGGGCAGAGGCCGGCCTCGGGCAGCGTGGGGGCGCAGCGGCGGCCCGGCAGGCCCGGGGCTCCCAAGGCTCCGTTCCCTGAGATTGTCCTGGAAGGTCCCACAGGTCCAGCCTGAAGGACACGACGCCAGGACTCGCATCCCACACCCACCCTGTCCTTCATGCAGCAGCGTGAGAGGCAGAGGAAAAGTGGCAGGCAGAGGACAGAGGCAGTGGACAGAGGGGCAGGCAGGCAGGCAGCGGGCAGACAGATAGACAGGGGGACAGGCTGACAGTGGGGCAGAGACTCAAGTAGACAGAGGGGCAGGCAGACAGTGGGACAGACAGGTAGACAGAGGGACAGGCAGGTAGCGGGACAGACAGAGACAGGCAGACAGCAGGGCAGACAGTTAGACAGGGGGACAGAGACAGAGGGTCAGGCAGACAGGGGCAGGCAGGCAGCGGGACAGACAGGTAGACAGAGGGACAGAGACAGCGGGACAGACAGAGACAGGTAGTCAGCGGGACAGACAGGTAGAGACAGGCTGACAGAGAGGCAGACAGGTAGACAGAGGGACAGGCTGACAGCGGGGCAGGCACTCAGGTAGACAGAGGGGCAGACAGACAGGTAGACAGAAGGACAGGCTGACAGAGGGGCAGACAGGTAGACAGAGGGACAGGCAGACAACGGGACAGACAGGTAGACAGAGACAGGCAGCGGGACAGACAGGTAGAGACAGGCTGACAGAGGGGCAGACAGGTAGACAGAGGGACAGGCTGACAGCGGGGCAGGCACTCAGGTAGACAGAGGGGCAGACAGGTAGACAGAGGGACAGGCTGACAGTGGGACAAGCACTCAGGTAGACAGAGGGACAGGCTGACAGCGGGACAGACAGGTAGACAGAGGGACAGGCTGACAGAGGGGCAGGCAGGTAGACACAGGGACAGACACACAGACCAGAGGGGGACAGGCAGACCAACAGAGGGGCAGGCAGAGACAGAGGCAGACAGGAAGAGAACCAGAGATAGGGACACAGGCAGACAGAGTTCCCTGCCCAAATGCCTGCATGACCGGGACTAGGCTGGTACGAAGCCAGGACGTGGAACTTCATCCAGGTCTCCCACATGAGTGTGGGACCCGAGTACCTGAGCAGTGGCAGCTGTTGTCGGGAGCCAGAAGTGGGACTGGAACCAAGCACTCCCCATGGGACGGGGGTGCCCTGCGGCGTCTGGCAGTCACCCCAGGTGGCCGTGGCCTCGCGATCTCTTCCACCAACCACAGAACCCTCCCACGGCACACTAAGTACTGTGGCCGTCGACGTGGGCGGGTTGCGCACTCTGAAGACCACGTGTATTTGAGTGGCACCCCAGTTTCGTGCCCACACTGAGGGCCTCACCGACTGACGGGTGTGTCCTGCACCCCACCCAGTGAGCTGTGACACCGTGGGAAAGACCCCTCTGCTCTGCCTTGAGCCGGGGTCTGGAGACGTGGGTGATGCGTTTCACAGCTCGGCTGGCGAGAAGTGACGCAGGAAGCCACGGCGCCTTGCCTCTGAGCTCGCACTGTGCTGGGTGGGCCCTGGAGATGCCGGCACCACCGCAGGCTGCGGACTCCAGTGGCCGCACGGGGAAGCGCTCCTGGGTTAACGGAGGAGCTGGATCTGCGCTCGCGGGGGCCTCAGGGCGTGGGAGGAGCTGGAGCCCAGGGAGGCCCTGGCTGCCAGCGGCTGCTCGCGAGTTTCCTGTGTCTGAGCTGTTTGGCTTGGAAAATGGAGGCGCCCGCCCGGCTGCAGTTCAACTTTGGAATCGCTGGCTGGCCAGGTGGGCGGGAGCCCTGGGGACTCTACCTTGAAGGTGATTGGACTGGCCTGAGCAGGTCAGCCCACATCCGCCTGTAACGGACCTGGCCGCGGGTGCCCAACGCCGTCCCGATTCCTGGAGAGAGGAGAGACCTGGGGGGGTTCAGACGCTCCTCACGCCGCACCTGCTTTAGCGTCCCAGTGCCAGGTGACGGTGTGCGCAGCACGTGGCCGAGCCCCGGGCGGCCCCAGCTCTTGAACCAGCAGCTCCTGCTCAGATGCTGGGACAGGACTGCCTCGGGGTGGGGGGGCCACACACGGCGGAGCCCTGCCACCTGGAGGCCGTGGCTCCAGCTCACCCCTCCCTCCTCCTCCTCATTGTCTATTTGGTCCACAATTTGGGAGAGGCCTCGTGGCCCAGGGAGGGACTGGAGCAGACCAAAGGCCACAAAGACCCCAGCCCACTTGGTGGAGTGTGGCCCGCCCCTCGGGGGTGTCATCTCCTTACTGGAGAGCTGCTGTGGGGGTCTGTGCAGGCAGAACCGAGGGTGCGTGGGCCAGCCGCCCCAGGACAGCCCTGCACCTGGAGGCTGAGGCCGCCTGCCCGCAGAGCAGGTTTTGAACTCTGGGAGACGCTCGGTGTCCCCGTGCTTCTGGTCCCACTGGCAGGGGGCTGCCCTCGCACTCAAGGCCACCTCTGGAATGGAGCCCAGATGGAGAGGGGGCCAGAGGTGCCAGCAGCCAGGCTGACAGAGCCCCTGCCTCTCCGAGGAGCAGTGCTGGGCTCATGGCTGGTGGCAGGGAGAGGATGGCCTGGAGGCAGGCGTGGGGTGGGAGGTGGGCTGTCCCCGAGTGTGCTGCCCAAACCCGCTGAAGGGGGACAGGCAGGTGTGAGTGCCAGGCGTGGAGCCACGTGCCTTCTGGCACCCGGCCCAGGACTCCAGCCTGGGGACCATGGGGAGCCTGACCAAGTCCCTGTGCCTGGAAGGACCTCGGGCCTCCATGCTCCTCCCATTCCCACGGTCACGCAGGTTCCTGCCCGGGCCGCTGTGCTTGGACAGTCCAGCTCTTCCCGCTCACAGAAACCAAGAGCATCACGGGAAAGCATCCAGGTGCCTCGGAAGTGGACAGCGCCCATCCCGGGCCTGCAGAAGTGCAGTCAGCAACGACCGGCAGACGCGGGGCCTGGGCCAGCCGGGGCCTGGGCCAGCGGTGAACGGCGTCTCCCACGTGGCTGCTGCCCTTCCTGGTGAGCGCACAAAACAGAAGCGAAGGGCCCTGCACCCTGACTCCCGGACGTCTGTGCGTCACCCCCGGGGCGAGCACGTGGCAGGAGGTGAGCACGGGTGACAGAGGGGCACAGACAGGTGGACACAGAGGACAGGCGGACACTGACAGGTGCGAGTTGCTGGAGGTGGAACAGGGAAGGGAGGAGAGTCTGATGGCTCCCTGGTCGTGTGGTTGCTGGGACACAGGCTCCGCCAATGGACGCTGGGACAGAGGATGCTGGGACAGGGACACGGGACAGAGGATGCTTGGATGGGACACTGGGACAGGGGACATGGGACAGAGGACACTAGGACAGCAGATGCTGGGACAGAGGACGCTAGGGACAGGGGACATTGGGATGGGGACACTGGAGACGGGGAACACTGGGGACAGGACACTGGGACAGAGGACACTGGGACAGAGGACGCTGGGACGGGGACACTGGGGATGGGGGACAGTGGGGACAGGGACACTGGACTGGTTCCCCCCAGTCTCACTCTTGTTCCATCTTGGGCACCCTCCTCCCCACAGGGCAGTGTCCACAGTTTGAGATGGCCTTGTCCTAGGGTCTGGCCCCCGTTCCTCGACCCTGGTCTCATGGGGGACCCCAGGCAGGGCTGGCCATGGCTCAGGCCTGTGCTCAGTGCGGATGGGCTGAGGCGAGAGGGGCCGGGTCCCTCCCCACAGAGCCCCTGCACCCCGCTGGGCCGGGCGCCTGTGTGCTCACGCCCAGGAGGCCTTGGCACAGGCGGCCCGGAGCTCCTAACCGTCCGTGAAATTGACATCTATTTACAGACACTACTGCCCCAGCGGGACTGGCGGTGCCCCCGCTCCTCCCAAGGCTGGGGGTGCAGAGCCACTCCCTGTGCAGGGACCCTCACAGCTCTGCGAGTGCTGCACCCCACTCAGGAGGTAGGCTGAGGCGGCCACACCCCCAGCAGAGCTGGTCACGTGACTGGGTATGGCCAGCAGCTCCTGGGGGTGGAGGAGGCAGGGGTGGCTGCCGCCCTCACCTGGGAACTGATCTGTGTGTGTGCACCCTGGGGCTGACCTGGACTGTGTGTGTCCTGGGGACTGACCTGGCCTGTGTGCACCCTGGGGCTAACCTGGCCTGTGTTAGTGTGCACCCTGGGGCTGACCTGGTCTGTGAGTGTGCACCCTGGGGCTGACCTGGCCTGTGAGTGGGCACCCTGGGGCTGACCTGGCCTGTGAGTGTGCACCCTGAGGCTGACCCAGCCTGTGTGAGTGTGCACCCTGGGGCTGACCTGGTCTGTGTGAGTGTGCACCCTGGGGCTGACCTGGTCTGTGTGTGTCCTGGGGCTGACCTGGCCTGTGTGAGTGTGCACCCTGGGGCTGACCTGACCTGTGAGTGTGCACCCTGGGGCTGACCCAGCCTGTGTGAGTGTGCACCCTGGGGCTGACCTGGTCTGTGTGAGTGTGCACCCTGGGGCTGACCTGGCCTGTGAGTGTGCACCCTGAGGCTGACCTGGACTGTGTGTGTCCTGGGGCTGACCTGGTCTGTGTGAGTGTGAACTCTGGGGCTGATCTGGTCTGTGTGAGTGTGCACCCTGGGGCTGACCTGGCCTGTGAGTGTGCACCCTGGGGCTGACCTGGCCTGTGTGAGTGTGCACCCTGGGGCTGACCTGGCCTGTGTGAGTGTGCACCCTGGGGCTGACCTGACCTGTGAGTGTGCACCCTGGGGCTGACCTGGCCTGTGTGAGTGTGCACCCTGGGGCTGACCTGGCCTGTGTGAGTGTGCACCCTGGGGCTGACCTGGCCTGTGTGAGTGTGCACCCTGGGGCTGACCTGGCCTGTGAGTGTGCACCCTGGGGCTGACCTGGCCTGTGTGAGTGTGCACCCTGGGGCTGACCTGGCCTGTGAGTGTGCACCCTGGGGCTGACCTGACCTGTGAGTGTGCACCCTGGGGCTGACCTGGCCTGTGTGAGTGTGCACCCTGGGGCTGACCTGGCCTGTGAGTGTGCACCCTGGGGCTGACCCGGCCTGTGTGAGTGTGCACCCTGGGGCTGACCTGGCCTGTGAGTGTGCACCCTGGGGCTGACCTGGCCTGTGAGTGTGCACCCTGGGGTGACCTGGCCTGTGAGTGCACCCTGGGGGCTGTGTGCTAACGTGGTTGGTGTGGGGGATGTGCCCGCAGCTCTGCCTGTGCCCTCCTCGCCCCATTTCATTCCCTGCTGCACACTTCTGCTTTGCTTCTCCCTGTCTGCCACTCGGAAGGCTTTCGTGCTAGAAGTGATGATGACAGCGAGATTGTCCACCTGCTGCTTCTCTCCTCGCTGACTCGAGGGCTGTGGGGAAGTGGGGCCGACACCTCCCACACCCAGCCCATCCTCCACTCGTGACAGCGGGAGCCTCCTGCGTGGAGGGCCCACCCAGGCCGTCAGAACGCGGCGGCACCTTCAAAGCTGTCGATCCGGGCAGGGCTGTGGCCCCGCAGTGGAGACGCTGTCGGGCGCCTGGTTCAGTGCCGGCTCTGCCCTTACGCCAGCCCCCTGCGCACCTGGGAGGCAGCGGTGACGGCTCAGGTGCCAGACCTGGATGGAGTCCCAATATTTGTATGTCTCCAATAACAATAATAACAAACCCTGTTACTTTAACGAAATAAGATTAGACAAGGAGGCGGAGGAGCCGGACAGGGGTGCGCCGAGGAGGGCTGGGAACCCCCGGCAAGGATGCACCGGCCCAGCCCACGTCCTGGCACCAGACCCCAGAGCGGGGCCTCGCTGCCCACGGGCAGTCGTACACTCGTCAGCCACAGGGCTGGAAGGGCCCGAGTCCCAGCGTGGGCTCAGCGGGACTCACGAGGTGGGCGGCGGGCAGCAGGCGCGCCCTGGAGTCTGGGCTTTGTTCCAGTGGAAGCACGCACGGCAGTGTTAACCCCTACGTGGCTGGGGTCTGGGAGAAATCTGGCGATGATCAGACAGACTGCAGGCCTGAGAGCCGTGAAGGCAGATGTGGTACTGGGCTGGGCATGGAGGCCCACGCGGCAATGTGGCCAAGAGCAGGCCTGGTGACGGCCAAGGTCAAGACGCATTTGAAATGGAGCAGCGGGGTCCTCACCCTCGTTCTACCGTCAGCCCCCGGGGGCAGGGTCTTGGAGCCCCCACGGTTAACGCAGAGGCCAGATGCTGGGGGGCCGCTGGGGTCAGGGTCCCTGCAGACGTGACCCGGGTGACCTCGGGGCCTGACACGGCCGTGGGCCCCGCAGAGCTCAGCATGGGCTGCTGCCTTCGCCCACTGCAGGGGACAGGGCTGCTGTGGGGAAGGCTCCTGGTGCAGGCATCCCGGAGGTGCAGGGGGAGACGCTTCTGGAAGGATCCACATGCCCGTGCATCAGGGAAGGCCACCGGCCAGGCGTGCTGCGGAGAGGGGAAGTGCCAAAAACGTGACGGACAGGTGAGCGGCCCGAGCGTCGTTTCCACGGCCTGCGACTTTGTTCACGCCCTTACTCACAGTCGCCAAGACAGCTGTTCACACCACAGATGAGCCCCTGGGGCCCCGGCCGCTCCCGGCCGCCCACGGAGCCGCGGCAGCACCCCCAGGCTGCCGGGGGAGGGGAGGGGAGGGGAAGGAGGGTCCCCGTGGCCCGGCCCCCGCATGGCTGCTGAGCCCTCCTGGTTGGGTAGCCCTGTGCTGACGGGAAGAGAAACGTTGGAGGCAGGCAGGTGAAACTGCAGACCTAAGTCCGGCACTGGCTTTGGGGCTTCCCTCCCAGGTTTTCCGTTTGGAAAAACTTTGTCTTAATGCATTCCATGCGTCTCCGTGAGGCAGGGAGATCATGGCATGCACAAAAAAGCTTCAAACAAAAGAAAATGCTTTTTGTCCAAGAGTTAAAATCCCGGTGAACAACAGCTCGCCATGGCCCTCATCCAAACAGCCTCTCCCCGCCGGCGAGCCTGGCCCCGGGGCTGGGGCACAGCCAGCTCTCCCCCTCCCCCGGGAGCATTTCAGGGATGCAGGGCTCGGCCCCCGCCCTTGGGGCGGCTCCTATGGGGACAGCTGGCTTTGCGAGGGAACGGCCAGGGTCCCAGCGTGAGCTTCACAGGCCTTGCGTGCGGCTGAGCCTTCCTGTGCTGCCTGCGTGTGCACAGAGCTCTCTGCGCGGGCCGTGTGCCTGTGTGCACCCACCGTGTGCAGCCCCCCACCGCCCCCGCCGTGGTCTGCAGCTCGCTGAGCACGGGACGCCCCCAGGCCTCGACAGTGGACCAGGAAACGGGGTCACTGAGGGCCCAGATCTTATGGAAGCTGGCGGGGGGCACGTGGGCCCCCGAGACACCTCCAGCTGGCCGCAAGCTTAGCAGACTGGGGGCTGGGTGGGGGAGGAGCCCGGCAGGGTGGGGCAGGAGTGGCACCCTCACCCCTTCCCACCCACCCAAAATGGCCCCCAAAGTGCCCAGAGAGTGGGCACAGTGGCCGTTGAGGGCGGGAGCCCAGGTCAAGCCCCTCCACGTGGGGGTGTAGGGAGCGAGTGGGAGTGGGCGCTCAGCCTGTGTCACCCCAGCTGTGTCCAGCCTGACCTGGCCCTGTCCAGCCCGACTTCCAGGAGGACCATGGGGGGCCCAGGGGCTGAGCGTGACTGCAGTGAGCACATCGCAGTCCTGCCCTGGGTGACACGGCCGCCTGGCCCCGTGGGGATGAGCAGAGCAGGACACGGACTCTCCGTGGGGATGAGCAGAGCAGGACACGGACTCTCCGTGGGGCACCTGCCCATGACATAGAGGGGCCACAGAGATCTCCACTGACCCCCAAGGTGGGGGGGGGGGGGCGGTGGCCTTCCCTGATGCACGGGCATGTGGAACCTTCCAGAAGCTTCTCCCCTGCACCTCCGGGATGCCTGCACCAGGAGTCTGCCCCACGGCAGCCCTGGCCCCGTGCTGAGCTCTGCGGGGCCCACGGCCGTGTCAGGCCCCGAGGTCACCCGGGTCACGTCTGCAGGGACCCTGACCCCAGCGGCCCCTGGAGGCAGAAGAATCGACAGAGGCCCCCTCAGCTGGAGGGGCGCGTCAGAGAGGAAAACCCAGTGAAGTTAGGACACTGCTCATGTATGTGCACACACGTGCACACAGACAGGACACTTCTCACACTGAACACACACAAACACAGACAAGATGCTGCTCACACATGCACACACCACACACATGCACATGCACAGATAAGACACTACACATGTGTACATGCCGCACATATACATGCAGACAAGACCCTGTTCACACAGTGCACATGTCACACACGTGCATACACACACATACCTTTTCTCAGTGCACCTGTCACACACATGCAGAGAAGACACTGCTCACACACGTGCACATCATACACACACATACACACACACATCCACAGGACACTGCTCACACACGTGCACATCATACACACGCATGCACACACACATACACAGGACACTGCTCACACACGTGCACATCATACACACGCATGCACACACACATACACAGGACACTGCTCACACGTGCACATCATACACACGCATGCACACACACATACACAGGACACTGCTCACACGTGCACATCATACACACGCATGCACACACACATACACAGGACACTGCTCACACACGTGTCCCGGCACACACAGCTCCTCCTGCTCCGGCCTGCAGTGTCTGGGCTCCCGGGCAGTGCTCAGGTGGACCCGATCTCAGCCCCGGTCCCTCCCTCAGCAAATGCCCTTCCTTAAAAGAACCGTGACCGGAGCAGCCGACGGCGGCTGTGGCTGCCCATCTGCCGGGAGGGCGGCCCTGGCACTGCTGGGCGAGGGCGTCTCAAGTCTCCCGCTCCGCCCACCGGGTGCAGGAGCCGCCTGGCCTGGCACAGGTGCTGCCCTGCATCGAGCACGGTCTGTGGACCTGGAGCCGAAGCAGCCGCCTGGAGAAGGGACCCGATGGGGCCACAAGCCAGGCCCTGCTGGGAGCTGGGGGCACAGAGGGCCACGGGCCCTGCCCAGGGTGTGCTGGGGACCTGGGGGTGCCCTGAGGACAAGCCTGGCTCACCTGGAATCACGGCCCAGTGTCTCAGTTCCCGGGGCTGGTGACAATGGTTCACAAAACGACTGAACACAACTTGCTGTCTCCCCGTTCCACAGGCAGGGGTGGACACTGAGTGGGCTGGCAGCCAGAGCCCCTGTTCCCGAGAGCAGGGCCCGGCCACTCACCTGGCGCCCGCTCAGTGCCGCTGGCCCCTCCATGCTTGTGGTCCACCTGTGCCCCGGGGGGTGGGAGGAGGTAGGCAGGGAGCCCGAGCCGGCGCTGCCTCGGGGGCAGCCACCTGCCAGGAATGACAAGGGGTTTCCTGTGCATGGAGCTCAGGAGATGCCCGGCACCCGTGTCCAGCAGCAGGGCTGGGAGCCAGGGCGGAGGCAGGCCTCTCTGTCCACTGACGGGCACCCCCGCCCCACGCGGACTCCAGGCAGCCCAAAGCAGATGGCCCTGGGCCGGTGCAGGCAGCGCTGTGCGAGAGGAACAGCCCGGCCCCCGTGAGTGGAGACTGCTGCTGGCCAGGTCTAGGACGCCCCCAGAGTGGGCCCACACCCTTCCTGGGAAGAGGAGCTCGGCTCCCGGGCTAACTCCCAGTGCTCAGGATTCCAGGGAGCCCAGCAGGGCAGGTGGCCGGGACACTTAGGGAAGCTCCTGGGGCTTGTGACTCTGCCCCATGGAGCCCCTCCCCCCACCACACACACAGCCGGTGCAGATCCCCAGCGCACTCCCTGAAGACCCTGATAAAACTTGTGAATCAAAGACAGACCAGTCGGGCGAGCACAGAGTTCTCACAGTGAGGTCACGGAGGGCAGAGGCTCCCAGGAACCTGCCCAGTTCAGAGGCTGCAGCAAGAGCAGGCGGAGCCCAGTGTAGGCATCCCCACACGCACAAGTCCCCCAGCCCCTCTCTGATCCGGGCAGTCTGGATGGATTCCAGTGTCCCCAGCACAGCTTCAGCTCTCCTGGCCAAATGCACTGAGGGCTCCTGGCCACGTGCACTGAGGGCTCCTGGATCAAGTACACTGAGGGCTCCTGGCCACATGCACTGAGGGCTCCTGGACACGTGTACTGAGGGCTCCTCAATCAAGTACACTGAGGGCTCCTGGCCACGTGCACTGAGGGCTCCTGGACAAGTACACTGAGGGCTCCTGGTCACGTGTACTGAGGACTCCTGGCCAAGTGCACTGAGGGCTCCTGGATCAAGTACACTGAGGGCTCCTGGACAAGTACACTGAGGGCTCCTGGCCACGTGTACTGAGGGTTCTTTAATCGAGTACACTGAGGGCTCCTGGCCACATGCACTGAGGTCTCCTGGCCACGTGTACTGAGGTCTCCTGGACAAGTGCACTGAGGGCTCCTGGCCACGTGCACTGAGGGCTCCTGGACAAGTACACTGAGGGTTCCTGACCAAGTGCACTGAGGGCTCCTCAATCAAGTACACTGAGGGCTCCTGGCCACATGTACTGAGGGCTCCTGGCCAAGTGCACTGAGGGCTCCTGGATCAAGTACACTGAGGGCTCCTGGATCAAGTACACTGAGGGCTCCTGGCCACATGCACTGAGGGCTCCTGGACACGTGTACTGAGGGCTCCTCAATCAAGTACACTGAGGGTTCCTGGCCACATGCACTGAGGGCTCCTGGACAAGTGCACTGAGGGCTTCTGGCCACGTGCACTGAGGGCTCCTGGACAAGTACAGTGCAGGCTCCTGGTTATAGAGCAGCAAAAGCTGCTGGACCCAGCCCTACACCCTCCTCCCGGGTCTGTGGTCCAGGACCTTGGAGGGGTCAGGGAAGGGGCAGACTCGGAAGATGAACCTTCCAGTGGAGATTCTCAAAGCTCCCAAAGCAGCTGTGCGTTTGGGTGGTGAGGACCACAGTTCAAGTCCCAGCCTACAACGCCGGCACGTTACGCTGGAGTGCCAGCTGGAGTCCTGGCCGCGCCACTTCCTATCCGACTCTGCCAGTGCACCGGGTGTGGCAGCAGGTGCAGGCACAGGGACCTGGGCCCCTGCCAGCCACGCGGGAGGCCCAGCGGAGTTCCTGGGCCCTAGCTTCGCCCGGCCCAGCCCTGACCGTTGTGGGCATCTGGGGAGTGAGGCTGCAGGTGGAAGATCGCTCTGGTCCTGTCACTCTGTCCGCCTGCGGCCTGGCGCGTCCACGTCGTCCCGACACCAGAAACGCACACACGAAGCGCCGAGCACTGGGTCTCTGAGCAGTCGTTTCTAGCTAAGGCAGACGTGCCGCGGCCCCGCTGAGGTGCCTCGGGGGCAGCAGAGCCTTTCCCGGGGGCTCGCGAGCCGAGGTGGACAGTCCCTCGTGCTGGCCCCTGGCCGCAGGCGCAGTCGCTACAGGGCTTCGCCATCCGCAGGGCCTCAGGGTGGCCAGCACTGACTGCCCCGCTGAGCCCGCCCACGGGAGAGGGATTCTTCTTCCCAAGTTGCGGATGCGGAAGTGGCCGCAACACCAGGCACCAGGTCCGGCCCTGACGCAGGTGGGTCTGCCCCAGCCCCAACCCTCCTCGGCACCCCGGGGGCCAAGAGCAGCTGGAGCTCCCTCCCCCCAGCATGCACACCCCCTCAACGAGCTCCTCCGCCCGGCCCCGGCCGTCTCACCTGGACGTGTGAGGTTTGTCGCCGTGGGAGCACTCCAGTGGCTGTGAGCTCCACACCTGTGGAAAAGACAGACAGGGTGCTGGCTTCAAAGACAGACAGGTGCTGGCTTCCCGGGCAGTCAGGGTGCTGGCTTCAAAGACAGACAGGTGCTGGCTTCCCGGGCAGTCGGGCGCACCGGGCGGCCCCAGGGGTGCCCCCTCCCATGTCCTCTGGTCCCTTCTGGGAACCCCACAGTCCTCCCCGGTCGCACTGCTCTCAAAAGCAAGCCGCTGGCCCTCCGGTCACCTCGGCCGCCCCAGCCTGCAAGCCGGCAGCCCGAGCTCCGGGAGCTCGAAGCTGCGCCCGGCGGAGTGAGGCCCCAGGCCAGGCGCTTGCCAGCCGAGCTGACAGAGGGCAGCCTGCGGCCCCGATCCCCACAGGGCTGCTCCTGAACGCGCTGGCAGCCGCCGGCCTGGGGCTCCCGGCCCTGCTGTGGCTGCCCAGGCCCCTCGTCAGCAAAGCCGCCAAGCCCCGGCCCCGGCCCCTCGCAGAGGGAGCCCCGGGCAGCTGTCCCGGCTCAGCCTCCCTCCCCCCGGTTGCTGTGAACCCGGGGCCACGGTCTGAAAGCGAGTTCTGTTTCAGCCGGTGGCGTTTGGACTGCACAGACTCAAAATTAGCTCACAGCGGTCCAGACGCACAGCACAGCTCGGAAACCACACGGGAGCCACGTCGCCCAGCAGCCAGGCCGGAATTTATCGCCGCGGCCGGGGCCTCATCAGGGCTGGGACGGCGCCCGCTGAGTCACCGCTGGCGCAGCTCGCAGCTCGGCGGAGCACGGCCTGCAGGCCAGACGGCAGGAGCCTGTCTAGACGCCCTCGGCCGCCGCCCCGCTGCACCCCCCACCCCGCCAGCCGGGAGAACCCGGTCCACGCCCCCCAGCCCGAACGCCAGGGCCCCCTGAGTCTGCGCCCCAGGACGGGGCTGGCTCAGACCCACCGCAGCATCGGCTGGACACAGCCCCGGCACCCACACAGCCCACACGAGACTGCGCCAGCGATGGCCACGCTCTCTGAGAGCGTCACTCACACCTCCTGTCAGGGCCACTTGTCACGGGTGTCGGGAAAATGCATGACACGCACGGGTGTCCAGCAAGTCCTGTGTCCTGATGTCGCGCGGAAACCCCAGAGATGGGGCCAAACACAACATTTCTGAGCCACGAGGGGGACGGGACACAGAGGGCCCACGAGCAGAAGGCCATGGCGCCCAGTGGGCAGCAGGCGGAGGGGCCTCCTGGGGGCAGTGGGCGGGGCCAGTGCACAAGACTCCAGGGGGGGCAGGGGCGGGGCAAGTGCACAAGACTCCATGGTGGGGGCAGTGGGCGGGGCCAGTGCACAAGACTGGGGGGCAGGGGGCGGGGCAAGTGCACAAGACTCCAGAGTGGGGGCAGTGGGCGGGGCCATTGCACAAGACTCCAGGGGGGGCAGGGGGCGGGGCAAGTGCACAAGACTCCAGAGCGGGCCACACTTCTTGCGGGAAAGCCGAGATCAGCACGCGGGTCAGGAACCCTGACCAGTTACGGGGACGGGAGGAGGCCCCACCGGAGCAGTCCAGCAGGCCGACCTGTGCCGGAGGAGGACCCCAGGCCTGCCGGAGCCAGCAGCCGCCCTAAGCACACACACGCCCAGTGGTTCCAGGGCGGCCCGGCCCCGCCTGCAGGAAGGTCTGCAGAGGTCAAAGGTCGAGGTCAGGAGGGCACTGAGGCTACAGGCAGCAGCGGGGACCCAGGAGAACCAGAGGGGAAGCACCCATGGTCAGGGCGCCCAGAGCAAGGAACCCCGGGGAGACCCAGGGCCGCACACAGCGCCACTCAGTTTTGTCCGGCTGTGTCCAGTCCCCGCTGCTGGGCCCAGAGTTTCCCAGGAGGGCACTGCTGTGTGTGTCCCCAGCCCCCACAGCGGGGCGGGGGGAGGCGCCCACACCTGTGTCTTGGCACCGCCCGACCTCCGAGCTGCCCACTTCCTGTCTGCGACACAAGCACATGCTGTTTCCTCTCTAAACACAGACCTGGCCCACAGGCGTCTCGCTGGGTGCCGACAGTGCTGTGCCCCTCCTCTGGCCCCAGATTCAGGGAGAACCCCCACCCCAGGGTGTCCCATGGGCGCCGGCTCTCACACCCCAGATTCAGGGAGAACCCCCACCCCAGGGTGTCCCGTGGGCGCCAGCTCTCGCAACCAGATTCAGGGAGAACCCCCACCCCAGGGGTGTCCCATGGGCGCCAGCTCTCGCAACCAGATTCAGGGAGAACCCCCACCCCAGGGGTGTCCCTGTGGGCGCCGGCTCTCACACCCCAGATTCGAAGAGAAGCCCCAGGGGTGTCCCCGTGGGCGCTGGCTCTCGCGCAAAGATTCAGGGAGAACCCCCACCCCAGGGTGTCCCGTGGGCGCCGGCTCTCCCACATTGATTCAGGGAGAACCCCCACCACAGGGTGTCCCCGTGGGCACTGGCTCTCACACCCAGATTCAGGGAGAACCCCCACCCCAGGGTGTCCCATGGGCGCCAGCTCTCGCAACCAGATTCAGGGAGAACCCCCACCCCAGGGTGTCCTGTGGGCGCCAGCTCTCGCACCCAGATTCAGGGAGAACCCCCACCCCAGGGTGTCCCGTGGGCGCCGGCTCTCGCACAAAGATTCAGGGAGAACCCCCACCCCAGGGTGTCCCCGTGGGCGCTGGCTCTCACACCCCAGATTCAGGGAGAACCCCCACCCCAGGAGTGTCCCGTGGGCGCCGGCTCTCGCATCCAGATTCAGGGAGAACCCCCACCCCAGGGTGTCCCGTGGGTGCCGGCTCTCGCACATTGATTCAGGGAGAACCCCCACCCCAGGGTGTCCCCGTGGGCGCTGGCTCTCACACCCCAGATTCAGGGAGAACCCCCACCCCAGGGTGTCCCGTGGGCGCCGGCTCTCGCACAAAGATTCAGGGAGAACCCCCACCCCAGGGTGTCCCATGGGCGCCAGCTCTCGCAACCAGATTCAGGGAGAACCCCCACCCCAGGGTGTCCCGTGGGCGCCGGCTCTCACACCCAGATTCAGGGAGAACCCCCACCCCAGGGGTGTCCCGTGGGCACCGGCTCTCGCACCCAGATTCAGGGAGAACCCCCACCCCAGGGTGTCCCCGTGGGCGCTGGCTCTCACACCCCAGATTCGGGGAGAACCCCCACCCCAGGGTGTCCCCGTGGGCGCCGGCTCTCGCACCCCAGATTCGAAGAGAAGCCCCACCCCAGGGTGTCCCCGTGGGCGCCAGCTCTCACAGCTTCCTAGCCAGACTTGTACTGGGGATCGGGACAGCTGGCCCAAGGGACAGAGACGTGCAGGGACTGGGCTGGCGGCCGGGCCTCGTGGTATCAGTTGGTGGGTGTGGGGGTCTCAGGACTGCAGGCAGGAGGGTGCCTCCCAGCCACTTCTGCTGGTCCGCTTCTGACCCACCCCTGGCGCCACTGGGCCCAGCTCCATCCCAGGGACAAGCCTGGCGGGGTGGGGGACAGGCCAGGCCCCACCCTGCGTCCCGGAAGTGCTGGACCTGGCCTCGTGCTGCCCCGCCGGCACGTGCCTGCCACCCTCCGGAGCCTCCCCCACTGTTTCTGGGTTCGCCCGACCACGCGTCGGGGAGCAGAGAGTGAGTTGAGGCCTTTGGACCTGTTTGCTATGAGAAGCGTTTCACTCCTGCTCAGAAAGGCGAAGAGGAACACCCGAAACTAAACACAGGCACACAGGGCACGGAGGGACCCGGCCCACCTGAGTCTCTGCGAGGCCGAGGACAGGGTCGCCCACCCTGCCCCTCCCCAGCTTGCCCTGTCCGCGGCCCCGCCCCGAGCCGCAGCCCACCTGTCTCCCAGGTGTTCCTCTGATAAACTGCCTGCCTGGGCTCCCTGCCAAGGACCCGGGTGGACAGCACCGTGGAGTGCGGGTGTCCGAGCAGAGGGCCCGCGGCTGTCTCTAAAGTCCTGGCTGGGAGGCCGCCGTGGGCAGCCTCAGCACCACGGTCGCCTCTCGCGCCATCTCGGTATCGCCGATGACACGAAGCCACAGCTCCCAGGACGGGAGGCACAGAGGGGACAGCTGGCCCCTGCTGGAGGAGCCAGGGACTCCTGGCCTCAGCCGGGGTAGCTCCACGCACGGGAGCCTGGGTCTCCCACGTGTGTTTATCGAGTGCCCACAGGCCTGCACAGAGCTGGGCTGAGGACAGGCCGCGTCTCCCTCCACGGCGTTCCATGACGGGGGGCAGCTCGGGCTCGGGGTTCCCGCAGCCCACTCCCAGGTGCCGCCCGCCTGCTGGGGAGGTGCTAGCGAGCCAGCTGGCTCCAGAGCACCTTCGCCCGGCCTCCAGGGTGCAGGGCCGGCGGCCTCAACAGCTCGGACCTCCTGCTGCAGCCTCGGCTCCACGGAAACCCCAGGGCAGCTCCCGGCAGGCGCTGGTGCAGAGCTCAGGCCAGCGAAGCCAGCGAGGGAAGCGCGGGCATCTCACGTCCACGCGCAGGGTGCCCAGACCCCTGGGCTGGTGTCGTGCAGGGAGCAGGTGCCAGACCTGACATAAGCTCGCGGCCCCCTGGGGGCGCCTGGGCTCTGCACCTCACTTGGCGTGGACGGATCCCGCCCGCGTCTCTGCTGCTCATTAGCCTTGGCCTTGGGCAGTGGAGAGGGAGGCCAGTGCACCATGACTCAGCGTGTGGGGGCCACCCAGAGAGAGGGAAAACAGAGGGGCCCAGTGAGGAATGCAGACGCCCAGGCCCCAAGCCCCTCCCTCCAGCCAGGGGCGCCCTCTGGGACCTGCCTGTGCCCTCTGCAGCTGGCCAGCGCTGAGGGTCACCAGCCCAGCTGCACCCCAAACAAACAGCGGCAAAGGGTGGGAGGGGCCTCGCCTAGCCACGCTAGGAGCGGCGAGGGGCTGCCCCTGGGTTGAGGCTGGGCCCTGTGGGGGTGGGGCTGGGCGCACCACACACCTGTCCCGAGCTCCCTGTGGGACAGGGCTGCCGCAGGCCCTGGGGAAGTGCAGAGAGGATGGGTGGCTAGCCTCAGACCCCG